GGAAAACTAGAGGAGAGTGAGACACGCTTGGTCCTTGCTGTGTTGGAGCTTACCTTTGTTTTTGAATAGGCTGTGACAAGAAATATGAACCACTAAGGCACACACTTGAGTTTGAAATGAAAAACTAAAAATTGACATATCCACAGGCTCTCATCCTCCCTCCATCCCTCACCCATGGAAATCACTTCAGTGACTTGGCCCTTTACTAGCAATGCCTTATAGTTATACATAGTTGCTGGATTCAGAAGGCATTCCTAACAATCAGAAAGTATGGTAACGGAATTCCAGTTGCAAGTTAATTTACATTTATTGTGAAGAAGTTAAGCTTTAAAATACTCTAAAATAGGGGCACTTTATTAAATAGTTGGGACCATATTTTAGGAAATTGGTAATTATTACAATTATTAAAATCCAAGATATCTGGATCCAGTGCTATAGCCTAGTAGCTAAATCCTCTTCTTGCAAGCATTGAGATCTCCTGGGTGCCAGTTCCTGTGCCAGTCACTCCGCCTCTCATCCAGCTCCCTGTGTGTGACCGGGGAAAGCATCGGAGGATGGCCCAAAGTCTCAGTATCCTGCTTCTGCCTGGTAGACCCAGAAGAAGCCCCTGGCTCCTGAATTCTAGCTTTTGATCAGCTCAGCTCTGGCCATTGCAACCATTTGGGGAGTGAACCAGCAAATGGAAAATCTTTCTTAAAATAAATAAATAAATAGAATGATAATAAAATTTGCCTTTCCAATAAAAGTAAATTAATCTTTTTAAAAATCCATGTATGGGATTTAATATTTAATACTCTCTATCCAGAAATGAATGGAAACAGTATTTTAGAGTATGTTGGATGTTGGAATATATAAATGTACTTTACTGATTAATCATGCCTAATCCAGAATAAAAAACAATCCAGTACTTGTTGGAGGGTCTCAACGCCTGAAAGGGTTAAGGCTCAACATACATTGCTGCCTGAAGGAGGGCCTGCAGACCTCTGTGGCAGGGCAGTGAAAACCTGAGTGCCTTGAAGTGGGGGCCTCCTCCCCTGGGGCACATCCCCCAGGCCAGGAGGCCAGGGGTGTGGTGCGGTCGTGGTCCTAAGGAATGGTAAAGGTCTCTAACTTGTATTGTGAGTGAGATTAGTTGCCTTTGCAGCTTTTTGACCAGAGAAATACTAGGGGAGAGTGTAGAAGTTTAGCTTTGCAAATATCTTCTGTTTATATTCTTTATCCTTAATCCATTTTTCTATGCCAGTTAATTATTATTATTATTAATTACTTACTTACTTGAAAGAGATACAAAGAAAGGATGAAAAGGCAGCAACAGCTGGAGGTGGGACAGGCCAAAGCAGAGCCTGGAATTCCATCTGGATCTCCCACAAGGGTGTTAGGGACCATCTTCTGCATTCCTGGGTGCATTTACTGGGAGTTAGCTTAAGTGGAGCAGCCAGGACTGCAGCCAGTGCTCCTGGGATCCTGGCATAGCAAGCTGTGGCTTAACCTGCTAGTCCCTGGAGTAGTGATTGTCTTGGGTGTAATATTAAGAATATCCAGTGTAATAGTTGGGACTTCTGGGTGACAGCATCGTTTCAGATTACAGAAGAACAATTACAGTGCTGTCTTGGATATATTGTGAAGCTACATTTTTTTTTACCTCCACCATTTGCTAGTATTTCTGTTTTCTTTCTTTTTTTGTTTTTGTTTTAATTTCCATCTACTTGAAAGGCATAGTGGCACAGAAAGGGAGAGACAGCTGTCTTTCTCTGCTGGTTCACTTCCCTGCAGGATTGAACCAAGTCAAACTGAGATCAGCTTCAAAGTTTGCGTCTCCCGTATGGGTTGCAGGGTTTGAACCATCATCTGCTGCTTTGCAGGGTGTGTTAGGCAGATTGGAGGGAGAGGAGCTGGAACTCTGCAAGCACTCCAGTGTGGAATGTGGAATACATGCTTTACCAAACCCATCACTTGGTAGTTTTTATTTTTTAAACTAAACTTACTTTTTTTCAATCATGGTCATTTCATACTTGTTTAATTGTGCATAATAAAGTATTGAGACACCTCAGTTATAAAAATGTAGAATTTTTATGGAAGTTAGAATGTTCTAATATAATGCTGTGAGGATATGCCTGTGTTTTTTGGTTTCTCACAGAGATCTTTATTACCACTGTTACTTAATAATCCTTTTTATTGCATTAGGTCCTTCAAATGATTTCAAGTATGGTTTGATGCCTGGTGCTGCAAATGATTTCAAGTATGGTTTGATGCCAGGTGCTGCAAATGATTTCAAGTATGGATTATTGCCAGGTACTTCAAATGATTTCAAGTATGGATTATTGCCAGAATCTTGGCCAAAACAAGAAACTTGGGAAAATGGTAAGGATTGGTTCATAAAAATTAGAAATAATTTTAGCAACAAAGAGTATAGATTTCAAGGATGAATGATAGCCCTAAGTCTGTTACTAGTCCCAGGGAAAGAAATAGATGTTTTCATAACGAATTTTTTAAAAGTTTAATAAGTACACTTACATTTTTTTAATTCTCACAGGTGAATCATCTCTAATCATGAACAAGTTGAAATGCCCTCATTGTAGCTATGTAGCCAAATACAGACGAACACTAAAAAGACACTTGCTCATTCATACGGGAGTGAGATCATTCAGCTGTGATATTTGCGGAAAGCTGTTTACTCGAAGAGAGCATGTCAAAAGACATTCCCTGGTAAGTAAACGCACTCTGAACTTTGAGGTCTCTATCAATGAAGCTTAAAAGGCATTTTTTGACAGTTAATTGCAAATTTAGGGAAGATTGATACTTAATCTTGTTAAACCGTGAATGTATCTTAGGGGCTGCTAATGATTGTCATTCAGGAAAACAACAGTAAACTAGTTAATCACTAAATGGCTGTTTTGAGTGGTTCAGATGCGTTCTGTTATGTATACCATCCTTACCTTGGGTTTCCCTTCCCTTTCAAATAGGTGCATAAAAAGGATAAAAAATACAAATGCATGGTATGTAAGAAGATCTTCATGTTAGCAGCCAGTGTTGGAATAAGGCATGGATCTCGGCGCTATGGTGTTTGTGTAGACTGTGCAGATAAATCACAACCAGGAGGGCAAGAAGGTGTGGATCAGGGACAAGATACAGAGTTTCCTCGGGATGAAGAATATGAAGAGAATGAAGTAGGAGAAGCTGATGAAGAGCTGGTTGATGATGGAGAAGATCAGAATGATCCGCCTCGATGGGATGAAGCAGGAGATGTGTGTATGTCTCTAGATGACTAACTGACCTACTATACTCCTCAAGGATGCTGCATTTGGACATCATATGAATCGACAATTTGGATTGTTGAACTTGAAGGCTTGCAAAATATGGTACATGCTGGATGAGTTAGTTAACATTGCTGTGAAAACTAGGGTCAAAGCCTTATAGCAAAAAAAGCAAAAACAAAAAAAAAAAACTTTTTTTTAAGTATTTGCACAGGACTGTACAGCAGACAACCATGTGGTTGGATTACATGGAGTCCCCACATACTCAGTCAGTTATCAAAGTTAAATATTTTTTATTTATAGGATATACAGTAACTATTTGGGTCCTTTGGAAATATATTTACCTGTCCTTACAGAGCTTACTCTTCATGTGCCACTTCCACATGAATGCAGAAAATCCATTTATGGAAGTACAGCGACAGTTGACCCAATCAGTCTGTCCATCAAACCACTCAGGCTAGTTTTTACTAGTAGAGCTTTGTTTCTATTTTTATTTTTATTAATTTTATTTTTTTTAATACAGATTTTCAGTGAGGGGCTTTTTCAACCCCATTGGTTCTATTTTCTTGTATTTTACATTTTAATTTGTTCCATAACTTAAACCAAGACTCTGGTATTATTTCTCAGTTTTGTGCTGATGGGCATGTTTATAAGAACTGGAGAGGTAATTTATTGGAATGAACTAACTGACTTCCCCCACTCCCTTTTTCCTTTTTGACATGAATTTTACTACTTCACAAATGAAGAGAATGATGATGCGAAGTTGACAAATACCACTAAAATGATTATGATTTAGAAGTAACTTTCTCCTGCTGCTCTAATCTGATAAATGGTTACTATATGATGTCTTCTGACATGATATTCGGTTTTGGGTATCTGTTACTTTGGCACTATTCTTGTTTGCCTCATTATTTTTGCCAGTGTACTATACCTCAGACTTATTGCAAAGACAGAAATATAATTGAAAGAAAAGTCATAGAAACAATAATTAATTTGTTTTGTAATTTATGCTCCATGTCCAGTTTGGTTAGCTTGTTATGCAATATAAGTGAAATATCAGGTTTTTTATTCCTGTGCCCTTTTATCATTAAAATTAACACAAAATGTACATTCTCTTTTGTTTCATATTTGCCAGGATATCCAGTGTTTTGAAATGATGGTTGATAAAGCTAGTTTATTTTTCTATTCCTTAAAATCAGTATCATCTTTATATAGTATTTGTTTTCACCCTGATTCGACAGTCTGCAAGAATCTCACAGATAAAATAATGAGAGGCTTTATTCTATTGACTAAATTCAGGGTACAAAGAGTGATATATAAGTTGAAATTGCTAGAGATATATTTAGCCTGGTGGCAAATGAATTAGCTGATCCATGGAAATCCAAGCAACATTTCATGTACTAACATGTACAACATTTATCAGGAGCATATTGTACATTGTAAGATTAAGGAACGTCATATTTTCAGTTTTTGTTTTTACATGAAAATAGACTATTTTCCTATTTCATATCAGGTAACTAAATTATCCTAGTTGTGTGGGAAAATTTGCAAAGATGCGTTGACAGATACAGTCCTCTTGGTGCTCCATTTGATGACAGCTGGAAAGAGACAGGCTTTGTCGTTGTCTCTGAGCTCAGCAGAAATGGCTTAGCATTAGACAAGGATGATTCTGCTTCGATAAATCAAAACCGATTTACAGTTAACATGGTTAGATGCAGTTTTTTGTCATCTGAATTTTTGTTGTAATTTCTACGTAACTGTAAACTGACTTTTGTTTCAAGCTAAGAGTACACCTGATTCTCAGCGTTCTAGACAGATGAGTACGATGTGATTCTGGGCAGGTCCAAAAGTAGAAATTAGTTGGGTAAAAGATACTATGAATGAGAAAGTATTTTAAACGTAAAATGTTTTGCTTTGTGAATATGTAAGTATAGCATAAAGATTTCTTGCATCCCATTTATCCCCTTCCTTTAAAATAAACCATAGTTTACAATTGGTAGATCTGTCTATATATAAATATATATTAAAGAGCAAAGATATATATCTTAAAAAATCACCTAAATCTGCTTTATTAGGCTATTGTTCACTTATTGCATAGAAACTGGACTTGGCTTTACATTCGTAATGTACTTTTACTTTCTTGAAAATATGATATGAACTTATTCTCTTGGAAACTGAGTTTTCTTTTATTACTGAAATCATTTATGTATATCTGGTAAATTATGACCAAATTTTTGTTAGAGTTTGCATACAGTAAATTGAAATACACACTTGGTACACTACGGGATTGTTGTGCTTTTGTTTTGGTTTTAGTTGGAAACAAGATTTGATGTAGATGGCTTGTTACTGTTAATTTAAAGTATTCTATAATTGTCCATTACCTTTAATGTTGTGTTGTGAAAGATTTGGCTATATTTTTAGTCGACTGAAGTATGCTACTTTAAAAAGTTTGTTTTTAGGTAATCCAAAGGAAAAATGTTTATACTCTTGAATATATTAGCCTCAGCCTATATAAAAATTTCTTTGAAGTAAACATTTTACCAGAAACTGAATGGACAGATTTTTCTACTTGCTGACTGCCTAACTTATTTTGTTTCATGATCTCAAGGGACTGCCTTTGCCCTTCTAGATCTTTTGTAAAGAATAGTTTTAGTACTAAGGTATACTACTGGACGTTTCTATTTTTTTAAGTATATTCTTTTTCTGACTTAACAGTACAACAATTTCAGGAAGTTGATAGATACTAAGAGCTTATGATTGGTCTCAGAGAGATAACCATGAAATATTCGTAATTTTGTCTCTGGAACTCTGGTAAAATTATGTGTAACACAGTTGGTAAAGTTTTTCTCCTGTAATTTATATTTTAAATGAAAGTATTTTAGAGCTTTTAATTTTCATGAAGGAGAAGAACGTAAACTGTTTTTTTTTTTCCTATTTACTCTAGCAACAGACCCTCTCACAAGTCAAGATCATGTGTACTGTTAGGATTCTCAGACAGTTACTTCCTTGTGACCCCTTCTGTCATAGTTCTTCGCCCTCATTTCATTATTTATTAGATGATTTGCTAAATATAGCACCTTAGCAGTTAAAGAGCTTTTGAAACATTACAGGAAGGGAAAACTGGACAGAAACAAAGAGCTTTCAAATTTGGGGGGAGGGTGGGGAAGCACTAGCTAGTTTAAGTAGAACATCGTGATGGGGAGAGTGAGCCAAATGAATTAATTCAGAAACATGGTTAGAACACTGGTACTTGTTATGTGTAAAAGTTTGGACATACTCCAATAGGAAATGAAACCAGGAGGGTAGCAATAGTAAGTGAGAGGATCAGGCCTTACAAATGTTTGTGTAAAACACCATTGAAAGCCTGAAGATGGCTGGAGTAGCATAATGTGGGGGAAAGTGTGGTGAAAACTGGGTTTTAAAACAAAATACTTAAATAAGCTTTATTTATATCTTTAGAACTTTTTTGAACACAGCATGGAGGGCTTAGGTTCATTTTTCTGGATAATGATCCCCAAAGCTGACTTTTTTTCTTTGAGTGCCACGTTTGCCATTGTGCAATTATACTTTAATCCCTTACAAGGTAGGTGCTATTGTCTCCGTTTTATAGAACAAAAGCTCAGAGAAATTCAAACACTTGCCTGATTGTAAGCAGCTGTGACAGAGCAGGGCTTTGCCCAGGTCTGACTCTGCAGCCCTTGCTCTGTCTAGGTGGCTGTACTGCTGCCTCACTGAACACCTTTTTTTGTAGAACTTGAGCTCTCTATGGAGATTTGTATTTTCCCTGTATAACAGCTATGTAAGGAATTTTGTCTCCCTCCACCACCCAGTATCCTTACTACTCTCTCCTGATGAAGCAGCTTGTTTTGTCACTTAGATTAGAAGAAGACACACAACCTCAGTACAGCACATGCTGTTGTTAATGGGCTGTGGCATTTTCATTTTTTAAAGAATGATTTTTATCTGAATAACTAGCTATAAGCCCCAGTTTTTGTGCTGTTCAGTCACCCAGATCCTTAAGCTTAACTTTGGTACATAATATACACACTTAAAAAAAAAAAAGAAAAGAAAACAGGTGTTTTCTTAGTTACTTTAGGATTTAAAATGAAACTTTTTTTATCCCTGCTATATCCCTGCTTTTAAGTGAAGTTGAGTTAATCTAGATAGCTTAAAATGTGTTAGGGATAAGCACACTTTACAGGATGTTTTCTCGCCCTGAATACTATTGAGAGAGGAGTTAGTGGGTAGTAGGCAGTTAGGGCATTCTGGGTCCCTGAGTAAAAGAGAATTTCCCCACCATGTTTTGAAGTCACCAGGGCACGTCTCTTCCAAGGGACAGTGGTGCTATTAGCATATCAATTCCCCACCTTGGCTATTGTGGAAGGGCCTCAGGCTGATCTCTTTATCATTGAAAGGAGTAATACACCTCTGCCTAAGGCCTGGAATGTCCTATGTCTGGTATCTCTGTGACCTTTTGTTCCAAGGCCAGGTACCTTGGAAACCAGGAATTTTCTTTGTTTATGGAGAGACATCTTTGAGGGAATCCTTTAAAAGGTGCATTCCCCACCATTGATACGGGTTTTGCTTCTTTGCCTCCTGCCACTATGGCAGAGCACTAGGGTTCTTTTTACTTTTCCTCCTGCCACTATGGCAGGAGGTAAGGGTTCTTTCTATCTCAAAGCCCCCTCCCGTCACTAGGACGGGAGTCTTCTCTTCTCAACTTTCCTAATAAATCTTGCGTTAAAACTAAACTGTGTCCGCATGAAAATTCTTCTTTCCTGCGAGACAAGAATTTGAGGTTGCTGCCATACTCGGAGTCAAAATTCCTGCAACAGTTTTGGTGCCGTGTGACTCGGATTCTACCAGCGAGACTTGAGTTCATCTCCAGCCAGCCTCCAGACATCCATCTCGTCGGACGGTGAGCAAAGCGGACTCTATCCTGTTTTTCGGAGACACTAGCTCTCCACAATTAGTAACTCTCGGAAAAAGAAACACCGGGTCCCTGTCAGCCAGTTAAATGCGGTTAGCGCGGCTGCCGGTCTTAAGACTCAGGGGCGAGGCTTGCTGAGTTTGGCTAAATTGATCCCCTGGAGCTGGGGTCCTTGGCTCCAGGAATGTCGGTTTTGTCCAGACTCAGTTTCCTTTCGCGGACTAAGCCCGTCGCGTGAGACTGGGAGAAGTCTTAGGGCGCCTCAGAAATTCTGGTCAGGGCCACTCCCTGATGCTTTTCGAAAGGCCTCTGGACTGTACCCCAGACTCCGACAGCCCGTCAGGGTGTCGGGCTGAAATCTGCACTCTTTCCTTCCTTCTGCGGGGACTCAGTCATCACCACGGTGAGGCCACGAGCCCTGGGCTGTGTGCCTCAATTCCCAAATGGCCTCAGGCACTCCGTTACCTTTCCTGATATCTTCTCCAGAGGCTTTTTCTCACTAAGTCTCCTCATTCTCTATGAATTCAGTTTTTGGGCTTTCTTTTACTGGTCAGTATGTGCTAAATACCAGCTGGTCTGTGATGGGAAAAGGAAAAGGCAGGCAGAGTTTCTTTCTAGGCCCCTCTAAAGATGAGATCTAAGATAAACTTAACTGGAAAGCGCTTTAATTCCCTCACAAGGCAGTCAGCAGAGACAGTTCCTCCAGGTTAGCTCTTAACCAGTGTAGTCGCTAATGTGAGCAGAAAACCAGAGTCAACACAGGTATTCCTCCAGCTCTCATTAAGGACATTGTTACACAGGCTTATAGAATCAGGCCGAAGTTTGAGGTCAGGCTTGTCAGCTCGAGGTTAGAACAAATTTCAAAAGGAGAGCATATTTGTCCGGCAGAAGTCCCAGATGCAGCAGGGTGCAGGGGATATTTTTTGGCACATGCTGCTTCTGACTTGTATGTTCTTCAGGACATCAGAGTATTGCACCAGGCAGAGGCCTAGGTCTAGCATGGCGCAGGAAACAGGAGCGGATTTTTCACTCCTGGCACATGCTGTTCTAACTGAGACATCCCACAAGGCGTGGAAGGTCGAGCGACGTGAGTCAAGTGTGCTGACTTCACTCCCACCTTCCTCCCTTCTTCTGTGGTCTTCAGCAGCGCACACCTGGACACCACGGGCGAGCTATAGGAGTCCTAAGAGACGTCTTAGACTCGGGAGAGATAGAAACTGAGGGACGCTTCTAGTTTCTATCCTCATTTCAGTGCTCCCAGTACATGCTATTCTGACAAGTATGTCCAGGTGCAAAACCAGGATTTACTTGTACTGGCAGGAGTCCCAGAGCTAGCATGTCACAGGAATGGGGGGCTGAACGGAGATACCCCTTGGGGTGCCTCCGCAATTACAGGGATGCCACAGCCTGGCTGCCAGCTTTGAGCTTTAGAGTGGAGAGAGTTAGTCTGGATGGGTCTCTTTGCATAACTATGCTGCTGTGCTGTGCTGGCTCCACCGCCACGTGGAGCACACAACTGGCTTTTACCTTGGTCCTTCCCTGTTCTGTTTTTTGCTTTAATTGTCTAGTTTTAGGCTTAATTCTTAGAGAGATCTAACAGGAGGTAGAAGTTCATTTTGTCTCTCCTTGGTCACTGATCTCGGGAACCAA